TTGACAGTGTGATTATGTTACGTGCTAACAAGTCGTTTATCATATCATATCTTTAAACTGTACAGGTACACGATGAAGAGCTTGGCTACAAAGTTTTGCACTTCCAGTACCACAGCCATCCTGGGCACGATACCTTTTCACTATCAAGCAACTATGTCATAAAACGTTTTAAAATTTCTTTCAATAACTTCACATGCTCCAAAGATCAATTCACAAGTAAGGATAAGATATCATTTGTCACCATTCGATTAACATTAATCATTATTTTAAGATTAGGAGTGCCTTTCTATTTATAGTAACCCAGTCTCCAAGATGAATTTCGAAAGGCAGATATCTTAGCCTTTAAGTTTAAACATCCCTCACAGTTCGTTAACAAGTCTGTACCCAAAATCATGACCAAAACTAGACTCTGATCATCAAATCCATCTTCCATGTAAGTCGACTGATCCACATCCTACCGCAAAGTTATTTTTCCCTTAACAATCATCAAAGTGCCGTTGGCTGCATTCAGAAGTACATTTTAGGCACCATGCAGGCACACATCATAAGGAACTCCAACGCAACTCCAGCCATAAAGAAAACAGATGCAGAAAAAGAACCCATAAACGACATTCTTCGAAGCCCTATTCCAAGAAATACAGACATAATGCACTAACTAACAACGTATTGGTATCACATAATCGAACACGAATTTGCCGCCGACGAAAGTATGTGAACGTAGATATAAATAAAAAGCGTGCCGCCTGCAACTCGATACTGCTTCCGATATCACACTTATCAGTCGAAGAACCTGGAATCTTATCAAAAACCACAGGTGCTACCGACAACCCAGTTAGCTCATAGTGCTTCTAGAGGAAAATTGAACATTGTTGGAGAGGTTTGCTGCACAGTTGCGAAAGGAAACGCGAAGACGAAGGCAACGCTATATCTCACAGAGAAGCCAGGACTAGATTTGCTGGGTCTAGACCTATTAGAAACACTACAATTAACAAATAACTCCATTAACCACATATGCAGCGCCGTAAGAACCAGTAAACCAGTTGAGAAGGATCTGAAGAATGTTGTGTAGGAAAGACATAGTCAAGTGTTTACAGAAGAATTGAAGGAGTGCAAAAAGGCAAAAGCAGTACTGATTCTTAAACTGGGAGTCACCCCCATCTTCAGACCAAAACGTCCTGTACCCTGTAAAATATGATCGATAAATGAACGCACCAATGATAAGGTGAAACGCCCACCACCACGTTAACTTTCCTCGACCTTGTATGACTATACTTTTTTCTATCCACCAATCATAATTTTATGTTCATTTTGAAACAATATTCGCTTCGTTGACTCATTTTTTCCTATTCTCTGATTACTGTTCGGTATGTTAATCATGTCTCTGTTTTCCCTACGTTAATAGACTGTACTGTTTATTTTGTATACTAACGGTGTGTAATTTATTGTTTTAGAAACAGATAAAGTTTATCAGGCCAAATAGCTTACTTGTTCTGACTTTGGCTAAAGCAAGACTCTGTATTCGACAGTTTAGAGAATAGCTTAGTTAACCTGTAGGAAATTGTTTCCTACATACCCTATGCAGCGTTACCTATTGTTGAACAAGAACCAGAGCGTCTGCAAATGGTTCAAATGGTTGTGGACGGAATAGAAGAAGCTTTCGCTTAACAGGCTTCCGTGTCTAGTATCAGGGGATCACCAAGAAGTGGAATAATAGAACCAGTGAAATTTTCTGACTAAGCAGTACCAATAGTGATTGCCAAAAATCCAAACGGAAGTATCCGGCTATGCGCAGATTATTCGACTGGACTAAACGAAGCGCTTGAAGCCCATCAATACCCTTTGCCGGTACCAGAAGATTCATTTGCAAAGCTGAATGTGGGTAAGTATTTTGCGAGATTAGACCTGTCAGAAGCTTATCTACAGATTCCAGTAGCGAAAAAATGTAGGCATTACTCGACAATAAACACTCATAAAGGGTTGTTCCGATATCACAGACTTCCTTTTGGAGTAAAAGGTGCATATACTCGATAATAAGGTCAGAGCCGTTATATGTTGATCACCTGGATGAGATTTAACTTTCCAATAATCAGATGTTAAATCTGGTGTTGCGAACTGCTTTCGAACCACCCAATGCATCTAAAGTATCGCCTACTCGTGGCAATGTGAAAGAACCACGTTTTTCGATCTCACTAAGTTTTCGATGGACAACGCACAGTCTTAAAATGATGTTCTTTTTCTCCAACAAAGATGAAGCTGCCCAAGGTGATATTGACAGTGTGATTATGTTACGTGCTAACAAGTCGTTTATCATATCATATCTTTAAACTGTACAGGTACACGATGAAGAGCTTGGCTACAAAGTTTTGCACTTCCAGTACCACAGCCATCCTGGGCACGATACCTTTTCACTATCAAGCAACTATGTCATAAAACGTTTTAAAATTTCTTTCAATAACTTCACATGCTCCAAAGATCAATTCACAAGTAAGGATAAGATATCATTTGTCACCATTCGATTAACATTAATCATTATTTTAAGATTAGGAGTGCCTTTCTATTTATAATAACCCAGTCTCCAAGATGAATTTCGAAAGGCAGATATCTTAGCCTTTAAGTTTAAACATCCCTCACAGTTCGTTAACAAGTCTGTACCCAAAATCATGACCAAAACTAGACTCTGATCATCAAATCCATCTTCCATGTAAGTCGACTGATCCACATCCTATCGCAAAGTTATTTTTCCCTTAACAATCATCAAAGTGCCGTTGGCTGCATTCAGAAGTACATTTTAGGCACCATGCAGGCACACATCATAAGGAACTCCAACGCAACTCCAGCCAGCTAAGCCGTAAAAGGCACTGTTGGGCAGAATACAAACGTACCTACAAAAACTGTGAGTACAGGCAATACAATTATATAACGATCATATGTACGAAGGCTATAAGAGAAGACAGGCTTCAGTATCAGTTAAAGCTTATGGATAAATTTATTTCCAACCCGAAAAGAATATTCCGTTATGCAGCTTCTCTTCGTCAATCCAAAACTGGAGTTTCGCAACTGCTAGGTCCCAAAGGCCCGACCGATAATGACTGTGACGCCGCTAACCATCTGGCTGAGCAATACTCCCGGACATTTCAGCCGACCCACATCAACTATACTGATGACAGCTTCATCTGCAACTGCACAGGACTTTTCGTAGTGAAACTGAGCGCTGACTTAGTGTTCCGTAAACTACAACACCTAAGAACAGACACTTCTCCTGGTCCAGATATGGTCCACTTTGCTATACTGAGGGAAGCAGCTTCAATCCTGGCAACACCACTCAGCGTGATGTTCTCACACTCGCTAAGTCGAGGCAAACTACCGGATATTTGGAAGCTGGCTCATATCACACCAATCTTCAAAGGAGGTCGACGCAGAAAAATTTCAAGTTACCGACCGGTGGCTCTTCTCTCTATACCTTCAAAGATCATGGAGTCCCTGGTATACGATGGTATACACGACTATCTGCCGTCCTTAAATTTCTTCTCACCCCAACAGCATGGTTTCAGTTACAACTTAGGAAAATCCTCTCTAGTAGTATCCTAAGTCGAAAAGATTTAGTAGTTCTGGTGCCATAGGACTTAAAGTCTTACGCCAACTGTGACAGAAATGCCTTTCGCGCAAACCTTGCACTGGTAACATTGAAGTGCATTTTTGGTCAGTTTGACGGGAGAACTTTCCACATAATCTTCAATAGTTTCATTCGTCCCCATTTAGAGTACGGAAACATAGTATTCCCTCCTACACTCCAAAAGGATAAGGACACTCTGGAGCGTATCCAACGGCGAGTCACGAAATCAGTTTGTGGACTCAAATTTAAACCTTACGATGAGCGCCTCTAATCACTCGACCTTTACCCATTAAAGCATAGGCGTCTTAGAGGTGACCTTCTAATGGCTTACAGTATCCTTAACACTCCTGGACATACTTTTAAACACCTACTTAAGCTTAGTCCCAACACTAACCTAAGGGGTAACACCCAGAAATTAGAGATACAACATGGTAGAACGGACTGCAGAAACAACTTCTACTCCTTAAGAGTTGTCAAATGCTGGAATTCGCTGCCGGCTGAGCTACTTCAAGCGCCTTCCCAGGAGTCCTTTAAGAGGCGACTTGATCTATTCTTAAGGACTAAGGATAGTATCTTACTATGATTTACCAATTCATTGTTTTTTCCTTTTTCTCATTAATATACCTAGGTTCTTGCCTGGAGATATTGGTGATCTCCTGATACTAGACACGGAAGCCTGTTAGGCGAAAGCTTCTTCTATTCTGTCCACAACCATTTGAACCATTTGAACTAATCGAGCTACCCACTGAACAGGGTTACTTTACTCGTCATTTAAGGCCGACCAGAGTTTCTAACTTAGTAAAGCGATAATATTTTTTGATCAATACCATCCAAACACATTACTAATAGGTTCAATATCCATTCGGAACATATTTTACACTGGGCCACTAGGAACATTTACTACAATTTTAATGTTGCCTCTAAACTAGCATACATCGCGTAATATATTGCTCTTTGTGAATAAGGTATTGTTACCACTGGGATTAAGACGAGCTCATAAGGCCCGTCATACCTAGTCTTTGAAATTAAGACAAACGTGTCATAGATATTCAGTGCTAGCGACACTGTTGTCCGTCACACCTTGATTGAGGAGCCAAAGATAGTCAAATCAGCAAGTGATGCAACCAAATAAGATACTATACTTTTTAAACTCGAAAAAATAAACAGGGCAGAATTGGATACATCCAAGACGACTGAGATAACTCACAAGTAAGCATAATCAGGAATATATTGAGTCAAGAGAAAATGTTACGGCTTACATTCAGAACATAAGAAACATTAATCGATATTTCTGACTAGAACATTTGATTTTTAGAAATAGGCGGGCATATTAACAGTTTGCGATGCAAGGAGTTAATCTGCACAATCCGTTAGTTGTCAAATAAGCATGTCACTCATTAGAATGGAATCACAAAATATAGAACAAAATGTTCCAAGTACATATTCTAGTGGTGATAGTCCGACGACACTTATCTATGGTTTACCATCTCTTTTCACATCTGAGATTTTATATGACGGACCTAAACGATGTATACTCAAGACAAATGTGGATACGATATCTTCTAGCGGCACTTCAAATAATATGAATGGAAGCCATGGAACAGATACGGATTCCACAGGATTGTGCCACAAAGAGTGTTTTTCTGTCCCTCATATTCGTGAATTAGCAGACAGCACAATAAAGGAAAATGTGGCTATCTCTCAAAACAACGAAACAAGAGGATCTTGTGATTCAGTGACATGTTTTTCAGAACACGAACTGTCCGACATTCCTTTGAGTTCCAATGACGAAGACAGAGTGAATTTTGATGTATCGGATATCTCGAAACAATTGGTTCTATTGTCCCCTTTTTCTGGAAGAAAGCTCACAACTATCCGTTCAGAAAGCAATTATGTCCCAATAACGTCTAGTTTTCTGACGGAAAAGGATAATGGTTGTGTTCGATCCTCGGATGTAATGCAGCAAAGTACGTTACAGCCAAAACATATCACTGTAACAATGCCTACTGTAGAAGATGGTCTCTCAAGTGGCAGTGACGCAGGTAGCCCGTGTCTTACTTCAAAATCTCACGTGAAGGACCCTTCATTCGATATGCGCTCGTTTTCTGATAGCCCTGATTCAGTCACAGACATTTACTGTGGTAGACCTACCATTAATTCAAGTTCTGGGAGTCTCGATGGAGGGCATTTGCTGAACCCTGCCATAGTGCAAGATATTTCAAACGATATCATGGATATTAAAAGGACTTTGGGTGCTTCTGATCACGCAAAAACATACATTCCTACATGTGAACAAAATGTTGTAAATGCCGTAACTACGAGCAAATCAAAAGAACAAAATATCAATCCAAGATCTGACAGAGTAAATGGCTGTCATTGCAATGAAATGAAGACCGGATTTACACCTTCAGATATATCGCATGTTAATAAAATCTCTTCCTCTAACCGTAATTGGGATATGTTTGGTGATCAGTAAGTAGAAAAGTTATGTATATGCATATTTAATTTATAAAACTTGAATGATCTTTATGTAGGCCAATTTATTACACCAGCACAAAAACAGCATTGTAGGTAGTCGTCATGTTTTTGTGTAACTCATGCGATTCTTAATTTCAATCGATTTTCACTAATAGAAACCGAGTAAACCATGGTTACTAAAGTTTGGTTGGCTAGGACACGGCCGAATACAACTGGTACAAATCAGATGCTAGAATTTATTTCATTTAATTTGCAGCACAAAAAGTATCTATTACAACATGGTACCGAGTAGTATCCCACAAAAACATGACGGTAGCAAAGTGGAAATGATTGATGTTGCGAACTAACATGTAACAGTAAAATGCAATTATAATCCATCCAGTGAAGCTATAATACTTATGAACTATACTTTTTGAAAAGCCAGAATTGTTAAACCATAGGCATTGCATAAGCTAATGGAATTACATGGGATGCGGTCCTCATTACATTAAAATATAGGTTTCTGCACCCTAAAATTCAGTCAGTCAGTTACAACGTAGAACCTGGTTCGTATGTACATCGGTTCAAGTTGCTATACCCTATTAGTGCAGAGGAATGAGATTGTCACACTAAATTCCAGAATACTAGAGGCGAAGACATGAGTAGTAATAGGAAAGATCATGCATCAAAGGTACGATCTGGCAAGAGAAGACAAATTATCTAAATGAAAGCAAAAAGAGGGTATGAGGAATTTGGAATCTTAGGATTTGGAGAAAGACAAAGAATGGATGCACCTGCTCCATTGCTCACGATTTTGGGACATATCATTCAGAGTCTCTAGTCACTGGTTACGATAATCACGTGGACCCAACCAGGTTATTTACACCTATGAACATAACTCAATCCAGTTGTCGGTGATTTCATAGCTGATGTGGTGTTTTGGTTTGACCATCTCGAGCTTTGTTTCAGCCTACTCTTGCACCAGAAAATATCACCTGTCAATGCAGACGGTGATTGGGCACACGTAACACATGTCCCAGATATCCTCAGCTGGTGAAGATTCTTTACCACATCAATCGTTTTGCCATCTATACCTAGTAACTTGTTCCTATTCCGGAAATTGCTTACTTTGTGGTCCCAAAATACACGAGGAATGCTTCGTAGATGCCTATGATCGAATATCAATAACCCATAATTGTCTTCTATTTGTAATGGCCATGTTTCACATCTGTGAAAGCATGTCTATTATAAAGTTGGATAAAAATGAGGAAAGCGGATAATCCTGACAAACACCACTTGAAGTAAGCGATTCTGATGACACTTTTGCATAAGCTCTGACTCGACCAGTAATGATCGAGTAGAGAGTCTGAATGAGGTTGGTGTACTTGTTTAGTACTCCTTTGAATGACAGAAGCTTCCACAGAATCTCACGATCAATAGAGTTGAACGCCATCTTTAGATCAAGGTGCACATGGGCTCCAGTATCCTGCGGGAACAAATGGCGTATGAACCAATCGTTGGTCACCGGCTACCATGGGACTGCATCTCCTCACGATGCTCCACTGCCTTGTGGATCAGATCTTCAGGTGAAAGGCTCGGGGTGTGGCCCCCTAAGAAAACCACCTGCTTCGGTTTGGGCACCCGTGCAGTATCACAGCCCTCACACAAATCAATTGAGATTTGTGTGGCGCATATGTATTTAATGCCTTCTTGCACCGATATCTATGTGTTAAAATAAATAATAAATAATAGTTTCCTCGGATTTGCTCTTCATGAGCTCTAGTCAGGCTTCGAAGTATTATTGAGACAAATATATTAGGCATAATATTATTTAAACTGATTCCTCTGATTATCACAAAAGGATTTTTGTCCTTTCTTATATTCTTATAAACCGGGTCTATCAGCGGTCGAGACCAGCCTGATGAGATTACGTCCATTTGCAAGATTTCATTTAAGACTTCAGTTAATCTAACTGCTGACTCTGGACTACTGTCTTTAAAAATCTCAGGGGTTAGTCTATCAGGCTCTGATACTTTTCATCGCCCTAGATTACTTATAGTCTTTTCAACCTCACTGAGTTGGAGGACTTACATCAGTTTCCCATTGAGTTTGTTTAGCTGTTAGAGGTATGACGGCGGTTATCACTTCCCGGTTGCCCACACCGTGGAAGGGTTCTTCTGGAGGTACCTGAAAAGGAAATTGGATTAGAGGTGGTCATAATGATCCGAGAGCGTGACCGCAGTGCCCAAGGGACAGTTGCTTGAGGTCGGTCACACACGACCTTTTTATGAGTAGTTTTTGTGTTAGCTCCGTACTTGTTGAGACCTTACCGCCGGAGACGGATATCCGTGGGATAAGGCGAGGTGTGCATTTTTGGGGTCGACCTTTTCTAACCCCACTACTTCTTTTAGGAAGGCAGCATCGTTGTTATGCTGGTTGTCTGAAAGAAACACCTTAATGCTGTCACACCTCTGTACAGTGAGCAGTACGACTTCGCCTTCGGACCTTGGATTTGTTGCTTTTAGTCCTACCGCTCTTCATCAACCGACCTGTCTGGCATGGTGGGACCTTGAGGAACGGTCGTTCCAGCCAGTATAGCTCAGTTGCTTCATCACGATAGGCAAGCCCAACCACCACGTCAAGGTAGCAACAAATGTCGGGAGTGAGGTTGTTTGGGAATAGTAGATAATTGAAGTGTGGCTGAAGGCCATTTTAAATTTTCCTTAAAGTGCTCTACCCATCGGTCCAATCTCCTGAACTGGGAGTGAATAATAGTTCCGTTTTTTCCGAGATAGTTTCACTAATAGCCAGAAATTTTAGTACTCGTCTTCTTGATAAGTCTGAACAGTTGTCTATTTTTACTTATCGCTTCTCCCTTTTCTATCTCTTGCTTTCGCTACCTACCCCTCCTCATGATCAGCCTATATTTAAACTGCCTCCACTCCTCACCGTGTTCAGAGCCAGACGGAGTGAATTTCCGAACATCAATTCTGTAGATGCTGCCGAAATCCACTGACTTTTCTTAACCTTTTAGTTTAAGTTACTAGTAGATATCACTGCTGTTTTCACAGCATTTCAGATATCCCCAGTTGTTCCTGGAATATATGAGCTTTCCACTTATTAGGTTAGACTCTGAAGCGTTTCCTTACTGTTGGTTTTCTATGTCCGGTAACTTGCAGAAAAATATGTGCCTGAACTAGAGCATAATCCGAGTCTAAACATGTGCTTCGGAATGAGCGACAGTGTTTAATCGAGCCCCCCAACAATGACTAATGGTAGTGTGATCTATTTGAGTCGATCGATGAGACTATTTGGAAGTTGCCACGTCAGACGATGTTTCTCCCTATGCTTAAAGTTGGTGTTTCCCTGAAATAGATGGCCATAATTGCAATAGATAATCGCCTTTGTCTGTTCGCTGAGCCACAACACCGTAAGATTCGCTCAAGAAAAAAATATAAAAAGCCCCCAGATGCCCTGGTACGGCCGAGAGTGGGGAGAGTCAGCTCTCCCTCTCGAAGCGCTCTCACATGGCCACGTGCATACAACCACTGCCTTCTCGTGGCGGGGGTGTTGCTTACGAAATTGAGAGGACGTAAAGCGAATGTCCGGTGCTCTAACCTGGTTGGTGGATATGGATGGTTCACCTAGGGGAGTTGGAAAACCCTGATTCCAAATCAATGGTGCACACTGACTTCAGGATCTTGAGGGGACAAATGGAGTATGAACCAATCGTTGGTCACCGGCTACCATGGGACTGCATCTCCTGACGTTGCTCCGCTGCCTTGTGGATCAGACCTTTAGGTCGAAGGCTCCGGGTGTGGCCCCTAAAAGAACCGCCTGCTTCGGCTTGGGCACCCGGACAGTGTCGCAGCCCTTACACAAATCAAGTGAGATTTGTGTGGTGCGTGTATCTGGTGTCCCCTTGTACCAATGTCTATGTGTCTAAATAAATAAACTTGAGCATCTAAATCGCCTGCCACTATTACTAAATCAGAGCGTTTAGCTTTTTGAAGGAGGTTGGATAGCTTCTTGTAAAATTTATCTTTGACTTCGTCCGAGCTGCAATCAGTTGAAGCGTAGACAGAGACGACGAAAAGGCAATGTTATGTGTCCCTAACTTTTTGAGTGCTCACTATCCCGTCTAGTCGAACAGCATAAAAGTGACCGTCCATTTTAACTCAGTCCAACATAGCTTTTTCTACTTTTAAACTTGATGCTATACCTACATTAGCACGGTCTCAGAAAGTAGCATGGGGTCTCCAAATACTCAAAGGGGTAAATCGTGCCGGTTCTTTAGATTGGCAAGGCGAGGTCAAATGAATGACCGTACTTGGGTCCTGTATGTGCGTTTCGGATACGCAACATATATTGATGGGGTGGGAGTATAGAGTCCTAGTTAAAGAAGGCTGTTTTCCTATCCGACACAACGTTCGAACATTACAAGCTCCAACACGTGGTTTAGAGCGTGGTTTTAGGAAATCAGGAGTAAAATTTCGTGAACACAAATCATTAGCATTGATGGCGCATGGTGATAAAGGTATATGAGAAGGGTTAGTCGTGGGGATGAAAGAAGTACTGGGGATTTATGGAGGGATTCAATCTTCAGCAAAGTGATCTCGGGTGCTGATAGGGGTATGAGGGCGATATCGCTTTCCGTTTGCCCACACCATGGAAGGATATTTCTTCTTGTGAGGCCTGAAAAAGAAGCTGAATCAGTGGTAGTCTTAGCGACCTGAAAGCATGACGTCAAAACCCAAGGGACAACTGCTTGAGGCCAGTATCACACGGCTTCTTTATGGGAACTCTTTTATGTGTTAGCTGCCACACCCCTTTACAGTTAGCAGTATGAATTCGCCCTCGGGCCCTTAGCTTTTGGTTTTAGTCTTACCGTTCTCCAAGCGACCTGCCCGGCATAGTAGGACCTAAAAAAACACGCGTTCTAGCCAATATAGCTCGGTCGAGTCATCATGATAGACAATCCCAGCAGCTACGGTCGAGCATCTTATTACTACTTA